GATTACACCTTCAAACTCATTTTCATTTAACTGGACTTTAGGCTATACATACATAACAGAGATATATATTGTTATGAATTTATATGTACATATATACAAAATTATATTATTGTCAAATTATAGTTCTCTCTTAGGAAAATCAAAATATTTTCCTAATTTTCCTCAAGATTCACTAGGCAAAATTTATGAAATATGTGAGGCTTCTTCTAACCCTTTGACTAAAACCGTGAGAAGTCGAAAAACTGGCCATAAAAAACGCACATAAATTGTAAGCCGTAATAATTTTTGGAATATGTGTTTCGGGGTAATTTCAAATAGACAAAAATCTCTGCTCAGTCAGTAGATATACTAAACACATATTCGCACTTTCTCTTAGACGTGTTCATAACCACTAAAAAAAAGCACACACACATGTGCATACAGACTTTTTGCACTGCGTTTTAGCCATGTTTACGGCAAATTCACTTAATGAATAACTTTCATTATTTATAGCCTGATCGTAAAGCTTTAGGAAGCCATTCAGTTATACAAGAAATTCATTTTTAAATTATTTTCAATTGTGTAAATTGTCCGAGTATCTAAAGACCACAAAAATAATAGTTGAAAAAAAGGTTAACTCGTTCTGCGTGTGATTTACGACTATAGATATTTCAAATCAAATATTTCAAATAGAGCACTGTACATATGTGAACTGCCAGCACTAAATAGAAGATTTGTATATATGATTCTACGCAGCTTTAAAATATAAGGAATGTACATATATTATATATTATATGTGAAGTGAAAAAATTATATATATCTATTAGCGTTCTGCTATCCATCTTGTTGAACATTCATTCGTACTCGTACATATTCTGCCATGCGTCACCCCATTTCGGAACTACTGAAGCTGAAGACTTGAAATTTGAAACATATTCTCGTACCAGGGTGCCCTTAAAAAGGGTTCATATCCTCATTAGAGCAAATATAGTACGCTATATAGAACTCTAAAATTTTCAGCTTTTAAGCTAGTGATTCGATACACAACAACATTTAACTGTTTTTGGGTAGTGAACGAGTAGTACCAAGTCGGTGTAACTTGCTTGACATCTAATCTACTTTATATACCCTATCTATCTACGAGCTTTACTATTCTTTCTATTAACTGAAACTACCAAATCTATCATTTATCGTTTCGATATTCTTATGTGATACTAAAAATAAATATCTTTTCGCATCTATTTGTAAAAATATGAAGTCTATTTGATAGCTTAACACTATTGGCCTTAAAAAAAAAAAAAAAAAAAAAAAAAAAAAAAAAAAAAAAAAAAAAAAATCTACAAAGTCAATTTAATATCGCATACAAATTCCAGTTAGTCCCAGAAATCCTTAATCATTTTTCCAATATAAATAGATCGTGGGTCTCGATTAATTACCCCAATTATCTAATTCGAGCACTAAATTCATAGGATATCATATCTCAATTACCTATAATCTTAGATAAACGCCAATCAAATTTTTATTCGAATGTCAACTAAGATCCTAGCTAATCTTTATTTTTCTTTTTCTTTTTTTTTTCTTTTCTTTATTTCTGTTCTATATAGACAGATTATAAGTCATCTTATAGCATGAACTGAAGTTTGAAGCCACTAAGATATCATTTCAGGATTCCTTCTTTCCCTAACTATATAGATCCGATGATCCAATTGCCAATACACAAAAAAC